TGTATTCTCGTAGTAACGAGAGAGTCGTTTGCATAGCAGCAAGGAAATTGAACTATTCGACAAGGTACGACAAAAGCAGTAAGCTTCTGCTCTGCTCAGCAGGGCGGGGATCAGAAGAGTGATCAGAAACGCTGGATTAGTTAGGTCGCATCTCCTGGAAGAAATCATGTCAGAGTGATTGTAGTGAGCCCGCCTCTGTCGTCTAGTGGTCAGAGTTCCTGGCTACAGATCCATAGGTCCGGGTTCGATTCACCATTTTTCTGAGAAGTAGTGGGTCTGGAACGGGATCGATTCAGCCTCGTGAGGATAACTGAGGAGCTATTTCAAGGAAATAGCAGCTCCGATCTAGAAAACCGAAATTAACGGCCGTGGGGATTCGTTGCGCTGACCACGCGACACCCTCTATCCGCAAAAGTTGGCACTAATTTCGCCTACATGCGGCGATCGCTCGGTCGGTATAGTTCGCTTGCGGACTAAACCCACGGAGTTTGTTTGTTGTCATTTACTGATTCTATGTTTAATTGTAAACGAGTCGTCCAATAAAACAGTTTCGTGTAAATTCATAATCCATCAATTACTTTTGACGGACTTGTGACACGTGACAATATATAAGAGGAAGTTCTGGGAAGAATTAATCGCCTGCTTTCCTTTGATACGACACAGCCCGCATAGGAAACGACATCTTCAAAAATTCTTCACTTCTGCGGGAACGTCTTTACCGAGTTGTTACCTAGCAACAATAGTGGGCCACGAGTCCCAGATATACACGCGTCTAGCAATTCTTCTACTGTTGCGTGTGTATTCGCTGCCGCGGTAATGTTTTTACCGAGCCTTTGCCTAGCAACGATAGGAGGGATACACATACAGACACACAGACTGTTGGGAGGGATTTACGAAGCACGCCGTTGAGATGGGTTCAGGTGCCGTGATATACGTATCAAATTTCACACATACTGGTTCAGGCATTCAAAAGCCAATAGGCCGGAGGGGATTCACAGGCGCACACATATACTGACACGCCGACAGCATGGAAATCGCATAATCCTTCTTTCACGTTTTCAAAATAAGAGAAGTGGGCTAGAAATGAACGAACGTATTTCTTCCGGTTTCGTACACCGTCTTAAGATTGTGAATCTGCAAATTTTGATTTACTGCAAACAAAAGTACTCCTGACACAAGGTAACTAAGAACACATCGTGTATGCTACACTTCTTCATCTTCTCCATCTTGACATCTTAAATTCATGATAACAGGGCAGACTACTCTACAGGTAACGCTGTAGACATTTATTCGAGAGGTGATCGGTTCGATCTTGGGCCTTGTCACGGCTAGACAGATTGAGGTATTTCGTTGTCCTCAGCCCTTCTAGGCGAACTATGGAGAGAACCTCATCTTAAGCTACAATCGCTTCCAAAACACTCATCATACCACCCGATAGTAACACAATTAAATTCTGTAACGGGATAGCTCAGTCGGTATAGCGGCTGGCTATGGGCTGAACGACCAAGAGGTCGGAGTTCGAGTTCCGGTGGGGGCAAGAATTTTCTCGTCGTCCAGACCGGCACTGAGGCCCACCCAACCTCCTACCCAATGGGTACCTAGGGCTATTTCCCCGGGGGTTAAGCGGCCGGGGCATGAAGCAGACCGCTCACTTCCAACTACTTCCGAGGTCAAGAAAACGTTGGTCTATATATCCACTGCCCCATAAGTCTTCATGGCGTAGTGCTTAATTAGTTAAGCACACGGACAACTTTATTTTACCTTTAAAAAATCAGTGTACAGAATACTGCGCACGTCTAATAAAAGTCCGGTGTCTGATTTCGAGGGTACAATATGCAGGTGGCCTATGTTCACCTAGCACTGAACGCAGAATAATCTAATACTTGGTACGATTCGAACCCTGACCTCTCGCATCGCAGAGACATCTCACATCGGTGTTCAGACAAGGGGCGGAACTCCTTGGCCACTGAATCAGTCCTTCACAGCAAGCAAAACTGTCCTGTTTATCCTCGTCCGGGGATTCGGGGGTGCACGCGCCTTCATTTGCGCAGGCGTCTGTGCGCTTAGGGCGTTCCAGGACGAGAGGAGAGGGAAAGAAAGAGAAACAAACAAAACGAGAGAAAGGAAATATAATAATACACAACAAGAAACAAAACGAGAGAAAATAGAAATAAAACAATATACAGAAAGATAGAAACAAAACGACAGAAAGACAAAAAAATATAACGTCAAAGAGGAAAACGAAAGAACAAGAATAAGGCAAAGAAGGATGGGAAGAAAGAAGCGAAGAGTTCATGTGTGCTCACTCTTGTTATAAATTACTGAAGCTTATGAAGGCGAGACATTGCACAAATAGCATTTCTTTAAAGAAGGAAATTCTTGTAATGAGCGGACATACAATTCCCACTGTTGTGTGCGATGTTCTCATTTTGCACGTTACCCTAAAGTAAAACATGCAATCATTTAGGCAGTCAAGGTCATCATAGTCCATAAGTCATCATCTGTGCTGTGGTTGTCCCTGCAATGTGAACCCGCCCAGTCACACAGCACGGCCCCCAGACGTATTGTGAGATGGCGACCTTTGTGTGGCGCCTCCTGTCAGTACATGTACGCTGCAACACACATCACCATCTTCAGGCCTGCTGGCTATCTCATAACCAGGGCCCGGATGTTGATGACACGTCGTTTTCTTTTCCCTTGTATCCTATGCGATGCTCTTAAATATACAAATCTCGGATATGAGCTGCTGGTTACAGAAATGTAAATTTTATAGGTAATTTTTTGGACTTTTAAGGGTATTTCTTGTCATTTTTGGCCATTGGACACTTAGGGCAGTAGATCAGAAACACCTGGAAAGCTTCGAAATCTGGTGTTGGAGAAGGATGGAGATGATCAGTTGGACCGATTATGTGAGAAATGAAGAAGTGTTATTTAGAGTCAGTGAGCAGAGGAATATCCTACACGAAATAAGAAAACGGAAGGCTAATTGGATTGGTCATATCTTACGCGGTAACTGCCTTCTAAAAGAAGTTATTGAAGGAAAGATAGAGTGGCGGATAGAAGTGACCAGAAGACGAGAAAGAAGACGCAAGAAGATGCTGGATGACCTTGGGGACAGAAAAGGATATTTTCATTTGAAGGAGGAAGCTCTAGATCGCATCAAGTGGAGGAACTGTTTTGGAAGAGACTGTGGACCTGTCGTCTTGACAGATTACAGATGAATGAATGAATGTTTTCTGAAATGTGAATAACATGGAAGCGAAGAGTTCTTTCTTTTCTCCTTTAGGTCATTTTTCTGGACTTTTCGGTCATTTTATGTCATTTTTTGAATATTTTCAGGTCATCAAAATTCGGGCCCTGCATATTACATTTTTGGATCATATTTTGGGTAATTTTTCTGGATTTTTTCGGTCATTTTATGTCATTTTTTTTAATACTTTCGGGTCATCAAAATTCGGGCCCTGCATATTACATTTTGGGTCATATTTTGGGTAATTTTTCTGAATTTTATCGGTCATTTTATAGGTCGTTTTTAAAATATTTTCAGGTACTCAAAATCCGGGCCCTGCTCATAACCAATTCGACTGGTGACTTGTCTTCTGGGGGTGCTTGGTTCGTACCTCAGACGTCACACTATCCTGAGTGAATGTTTCATGCTTTTCTTCATTTTTCTCCAAGCAAATAACGAGAAAATATCTTAGATCAGGCTTCGGGGATAGCTTAATCGATATTAGCGACGGGGGCTACAGGCCGGACTGTCGGGGTTCGATTCTCGACAGGAGGAAAGACATTTTTCTCCACTCCACAGCATCCAGGCTGGCACTGGGTGTAAAGCGGCCAGAAAGTAAATCCGACCACTCGCCTCCATTTACTGGGGAAGTCAAGAATGGTGGAGTTGATGTTCCACTCCCCCATACGCCTTCATGGTGTTGTGCTTAATTAAGCACAGGGCCAACTTTACCTTTTACCTTACCGCTTCTCTCCACAGTGTTTTGACGCTGCAGTCTGGGTTATTGATAATGTCGTTAAACAAAACTACAAATAAATAATATCTATACTGTATGGTCTGCGATTTGACGCAGTGTAGATCAGTGTAAGTTTATTGACATTTTGAAGGAAGGTGCCAGGGTAGAAGATGCCTGCTTCATGCTTTTTGTTTGGTTGCCTCACTCTTCCAGACCGCCTCTGTGGTCTAGTGGTCAGAGTTTTTGGCTACAGATCCAGAGGTCCGGGTTAGATTCCCGCCGCTACCAGATTTTCTGAGAAGCAGTGGGTCTGGAACGGGGTCCACTCAGCCACGTGAGGATAACTGGGGAGCTACTTGAATGGAAAAGCAGCGGCTCCGGTCTAGAAAACCGAGATTAACGGCCGGGGGATCCATTAGGCTGACCACGTGACACACTATCCGCAAAAATTTGCACTAACTTCGCCGACAAGCGGCGGCCGCTCAGTCGGTATAGTTCGCTTGCTGAATAGAGGCCATAGAGTTTGCTTTTTGCCTCACTCTTCCACACTGAAGATGGAGGCACTACGTTCCTCCGTAACGTCGGCGAACTACCAGACTAAACAGTGCACTCTTTACTGTCAGAACTCCGAAAACCTCAATTACAAAATGAAACGGAGAACGACACTGGGGTAACTGCAGAAACTGTGCAGACCATTCAATTTCGCTAATCGTCTCGCGATTTTCCTCAGAATCTTCCAAGAATGGCCAGCCTCTTCATCTCGCTACTTTCCTTACCACACTAATTTCATTTTGCTCAGTGGATTCAGTGTCGTCAAATAAGCAACAAATCATACTCCATGGACAAGCGTCTGGTCACAAGCTGACAGCTGCACAGCTGGTTAAGAATTCCCCTACTACTATGGGGGGATGGCAATTTTCCCCAATGCTGAGCCAGATGAATCCAGTTAACATCATATTCCATTTCAGCCCTTTAAAGCCCAGTGGTTATACTATATATACAACCCCCAGAACCCGTGTGGACGCCCATACTTACAGGTATACATTCGCATTTGATGCAGTACATCACGCCGAAGGGCGGGCCCAGATCTGCAAACCATGTTGATCCAATCTCGTGAAGCGATTTTCCAAACTGGCATTCTGCAACAGAAGAGAAAGGGGGAAAGAGGTAAGTTCATGTCTTCATGGCGTACAGTATTACGTTCAGGGTCCTCTGGGTACCATCTTCACCCTACACCACATTAAGACTCATCACGTGACACCTCTCGACATGTATATTTGCGGTTAAATTAACTGCTATATTAGCAAGTTCCTCAAGGTCATTTGTTTCTTTCCAGAATGCCGAATTTCTACAACTCCGCGTTGCTGCTTTTACCAAGAGATGTCTTTTTAAACATTTCTCAAACGATTTTTCACAATCTCCTAGTATGGTTACTAGTAAGAAATCCATTATACGAGTATTTCACGCGAGCTATTCTTAGATCACTTAACAGCCATGTGTCAGCATTTGTAACATAATTTCTTCAGTAAGTTTTACAGGGCGGTATTGTAACATGGCAGCTGAAAGTCCGGAATAATGGAGCCAGGAGAAGCAGTCAGCTGCTAGGTAAAGACTTATGAAACACGCATTGCACCAACGGATACGCGTGCAACAATAGAGGAACTTTTGGAAGTGGTAACTTGTATGCAGTCCTGCCTGTGGCTATACGGCAAGAGCCGTCATGAAACGTAGTTCCTCTGGGATACAAACACAGGGACCTGGCCCTCCTCGTTGGGGGAGTCTCATTTCCGGGACAGCACAATATGGTCATGAGTCCCACGGGACATGGACCTGAGAATGACTGCGCTGGCGAGCACCAGCAACAACTGTAAACGACAGGCCCGTCCTCGTCAGAGATGGCGCCCCACATCAACAAACCCGAAACGGTGTGACAGTAATAAAAATCTGGTAGTAAACCCTAGATGGGTTCTTTATTGCCAGACAAACTGGCAGACTGACGGTCGTAAGTTACCCACTGCTTGCCAGGATAGCGACCGATGGCCAGTGATGGCTAGTGATGAATTGTTTAAGGACATGAACAACACAGGATGAGGAATCTGCAATGCTGAGAGCCGTTACAAAGCAACGGCTAGTGAAGACACAGAAGCCTTAATATTTGGAGTAACGATTTGTAGTGTGTATATCAGCAAAGGTCAATCGGTAGACATTTTCATTTTCTAGCTGGACGTAACATAAGAGGTTTGCTGCATGGTGATGTTTTATCAGCAAGGACTTATTTTAGAGGATTAAACCTTTGAAGTACCTATGAATGAGTGGACGAATGACGGGTAAGAGAAGAAAATTAATTTAATATGGGGAGAAACTGATAGAAAATTTCCGGATTTGGAGGTTCCCGGGATGTCTGCTCGTCCTTCTGGTAAAGCTAGGTAAATTGGAGAAAAATGTTAGGTCTCGGGAAATGAACGAGCTATGGGAAGCAGACGGTTTTAGGTTACGCAGGAGAGGAAGGTTTAGCGGGTTCTGTAGGGCATCAGGTTGGGTTAACAATTAAAAAGCTTTCTTAAAGCAATCCTTGCAACAGGCCATGGAGGCCCATAGGGTTGTGAGACGTCGAGGCTCCCACATCTTCTAGATAATCGGCTCGCAGATGGCAGTGAGGTCAGCCTTACGCGCCGGCCGCCCTTTAGCACCCAGGAAGATTCCTGGTACTCATTTCTGTTAGAGGCTGAGTCGACCCCAGGGCCATAGTGTGGCTGGAAGGATTAGGTAAAAAAAAAAAAGTTCACTTCATCGGGACTCGAAACCGCGACCTTCCGGCTTGTAGCATGGTTAAATTTTAAGGATAAAAATCATGCTTCAAGAACACTTAACGTTTCCAGAACACAGACAAATGGCGGCTGATTGTTCCGAGAATAAGACAAAAAATACCTCCTGTCGGTAAAGTGAAGAAGAGTTATTTTAACGCTGAAGCCAGTGTTTTAAAGGGTTAAGTCGGCGAACTCTGTGGAGTGAACTCTTGCCTGCACTCCGTGCAGTACGTCACATGCAACGACACCATATGACGAAGCTTTGCACCATCAACAGTACGGAGGTCAGAAGACAAACTCTATAGTCTGCGTGCGATGTACAGGATGATTCTAAATTACTGTCGGGGTTTCCGTTCTCTACAAACGNGGAAACCCCGACAATAATTTAGAATCATCCTGCATGTCATGACAAATATCAAACGCCTAAGCTGCAATTTACAGCAATTAGGTTTAATAAAGCTTAGAATTTGTGCACATCTTCACATAATTGCAGTGTCTAAAACATAATTTGAGGGCGCGTATAGTGACATAGGCTGTTACGTCATCATTATAACACGTTTCTAACTAAATACGCTATACGGGAAATGCTGTTTCAACACAGGACTCTTTTCTTCCGTAAGGTTGGCTACTCAGGGTACGGACGTCCCCTCAGAGATATTTTCGATAAATGCCAGAAATAGTTCATTTGAGAAAGACAATTTTTTTCCTGTGATTCTGTATGGGTGTGAAACTTGGTCTCTTGACATTAAGGGAGGAACATAGGCTGAGTGTTTTTGAGAACAGGGTGCTGAGGGGAATATTTGGACTGAAGAGAGATGAAGTGACAGGAGATTAGAGAACACTGCATAACGAGGTGCTTCAAAACCTCTACTTTTCTTCAAGTATCATTAGAATGATCAAGTCAAGGCGGATGAGATGGGAAGGGAATGTAACAAGAGTAGGGAGGAGGAATGCATATAGGATATTGGTGGGAAAGCCAGATGGAAAAGAGACCACTGGGAAGACCAAGGCGTAGGTGGGTGAACAATATTAAAACTGATCTTTGAGAGATAGGATGGGATGGTATGGATTGGACTGAACTGGCTCAGGATAGGGCTCCTGTGAATACGGTAATGAACCTTCGGGTTCCATAAAGTGTTGGGAAGTTCTTGAGTAGCTGCACAGTGAGACATCCGTTACAACTGTTGAATCCAAGGTTTCTGTATGCCTGCACAACAGCCTACCTAAAGTGCAGCTAAAGTGTTCGTAAGCGATTTTAATGTTATTCTTCAGCACTGAGACGGAAATAGTGCGAAAAAATCGTAAAAAAGATATATATTCTCAGCCCGATCACAATCTCAGGATTATAACCTTCAAATCATAGCAGGAAGGATTTCCGTCTGCCGGAATGTGACGCCATGCAGCCTGGTAGCTCGTACGAAAATTTCGAAAAGTTCCCGCCGTCCATATTTTCTTAAGTATCTACTCTGAAGAGAGATGGAGAGACAGGTTTCAGCTTCAACATGGAGACAGTGCGTTTCATCATATTTTCGACTCTGAACATTTAGGCTATCCTACCTTGAAGATGGAGAAAGATGGTTACTCCGTCTGACACTTCCACCCTGAACACTGAGTCCTCCACCGTGAAGACTGAAGCAGTACACATTTTATTGACGCTGAAACCTGTCTGCCAAATCACGCCGTCACATCTCAGAAGACACCAAGTTTCAGAGGGTCACCTCACAAGATGCCTGTAACACTCTGCTGTATCATCAGATACATAAATTTGCAGATCTTCATGTTTCATTATCACCAATAATCACGTTCGTCCCTCGAGTCTCGGGCCGCAAACGCGGAGCCGGGAATAGCGCCGTCACGCTACCGACGCCCGGCGACGTGACTACACATGTCGATAATGAACTACCTTACGCGGTTCCTAGTAATTTTTTAATTGCCTTATACCCACTTCTTTATCGTTTACGTCGTTTTCACTTCTTGAGACGAATGGTTCTCAGTTCTGTCTCCACTTGCTCACTTCGTACCAATATCCTAATTTTACTGTTTTCGCTTTTATTTCCTTGTTGCTTAACCATTCAAGATCTGATGACCAAGTGTTCTGCTCTCCAATTACCGATTTTGTTTCTATGGCTTCCTGAAGCTACCTCCTATAATATATTGTCACATGTTGGGGACTAGACACGGGGTTGGATTGATTATTTGATTTATTGGACTCTTACACATACAGCTTTCTATGTCTTCACTATGCTCTGCCTGGCGAGGGCTCCTAACCCCGTGGATTCCTCACCTTCCGCGTTCAAGTCCTTACTGGTAGGCGACTGTCTCGCAACACCTCTTCATGGCCGCACCTCCAGGCAACTAACTGATTGGCCGTGTCTGGCTATCACAGACTAGCTAGCTAGTACTCACTTCCGACTCATAACTCGGACAGTCGGCTAGGCTGTCTTGGTGTCAAGCACCCATTTGGGGTCCAAGGACAGATTTTTGTTATTGTTAGACATTTGTGGGTTTCTTGATGTGTCCTTATGGAACATCTCTCTGACGAGAGGATGGGTTTCTCAATGCTTCACTGTTGTAAACTGTACGTATCGCACATATAGCATGTTACTGAAAATTCTTCCAATAACGTGCTCTATGTGCAATACGTACAGTTGAAAAAGGCCAAGCATAGTCATACGAGACACACCATCCTCTCGTCAGACAGGATGTTACATAAGGGTTCAGTTGCAAAAAGAAAATCATGGCAACTGAGCCAATCTCATAAATCCCTCCCACCAGGTCTGTGTCTATATATGCGTACGGCCCTATCATTGCTAGGCAACGTTACCGCTGCAACAAACACACGCAGAATAATTGTTGGACGCATTGTTATTGTTATTGGAGGGGGTGGGTTTCCCCATGCACCGCGACCAGTTTGATCTATTGTGAGTCCCCTTATGATCTTCTACCAGCCTCTATACCCTACCGGTACTGGTGCTTACCATCAGTCCCTACTCAGCCAGCGATGTCGGCCTCTACTGGCTCAGAGGTATCTCGATGCTTCCCCCATTTACCAGAGGCGTTAGAGACTACTGTTGAGCGGGAAATGTCCTTAATTTAGCTCAGTGGCCTCCTTTTGAGACATGAGGTTCTTTTACGTGCCGTAAAGCTACGACATGGGACCCACGGCTTAAAGTCTCTCCCGGAGGACTTGTTCCCTGAATTTTTCCGCCCTTAAAAATTCCGCGACCTCCGCCGGGTTTGAACCCGCGTACCTTCAGTCATGAGGCGGGAAAGGTTACCCCTAGACTACGGAGGCCGCATAGCTTTCTATGAATTCCGTGCCGTGTCAAGGA